TAAGGAAGGGAGAAGGGGATGGTGGGCAGTAGGTGAGCAGTAAAGGAGGGAGAGGGAAGTAAGGGAGAGGGGGGGGAGAAGGGGATGGTGGGCAGTAAGGGAGAGGAAGGGAGTGGTGAACAGGAAAGGAGGGGGAGTAAGGGAGGGGGAAGGGGGTGGTGGGTAGTGGGTGAGCAGTAAGGGAGAGGGAGGGAGTGGTGAGCAGCAAGGGAGGGGGAGGGAGTGGTCTTGTTGGCATGCATCGTCGACATGTCATCGCATTGTGTCGTCGTTTTCGTGTGTCGTCATCCTCGTTGGTGTTGTGTCCGCTGGGCATTGCGTTGTGTTGTGGGCATTGGGCATTGTTTCATGGGTGCTGGGTGTCATTCCATGGGCGGCCTGTGGTTTTTGTGGGTGCTGTCGTGTTTTTGTGGGCACCATTGTGTTTTTGTGGGTGTTCATCGTGTTTTTGTGGGTGTTATGGTGTTTTCGTGGGCAGTGGGTGGTCATTACATGGGTTGTGGGATGCGGATGACAACTGATGATGACATTGTCGTTGTTGTTTGTCATTGTTCCATTGCCATGTCACCTCCTTGCCTTGTTGCCATGTTGCCTTGCCGTTAGTGTTTAAAGGTTCAGTTCAGTCCGGTTTTTTGCCCCGAAAACGCGCAACCGTGGACCGCAACCGGTCCAGGACCGACCCAGATATTGAGGGAACCGAACCGAACCACCTAGGACCGGTCTTTTGCGGTCCATGATACCGGTTCAGACCGATCCAGACCGGTTTTTTTGCATATAATTTATTATATCAATATAAACCATTTGTATCTCAACCATGATTACTCTGAAAAATAAACGGGTTATATAAAATAGTAAAGCATATAAATACCCGTCATTCTACCAATTTTCAAGAGATTTAATGAAGATTTGACATAGCTATGACTGAAACTGAATTATATCTCCTAGAGACTCGGGTAAAATATGGATTTGGTTATATCTTTCTCAATTCTTAACCGTTTTTGATGAAACAAAAACCCAATAAAAGGCAATAAACGTGGTTACAAGGCTATGTAACGCACGTGACCGTTTAACCGGTTGCAACCGATTAAAACCGGTCTTTGAACGGTTTTCAAAGATGAGGCAACCGGCAACTGGACCACCCCCAAATTGGGGCAACTGCAACCGAAAAAAAGACCGGACCATGGTCCGGTTCAGTTCGGTCCACCGGTTTTTTGCGGTCCTATGGACTGAACCTTTAAACACTACTTGCCGTCCACCTAGCGTGTTTGTGTTGTCATGGCTGTTGATGGGTGGTGTGGTGTTGTTGCCATTGTCAATGTGGTTGGTGGGAGGGAATGGAGGTGGTGGGGAAGAGGATGGTTGGTGGTGGGTGGAAAGGAAAGGGTGTTGTGTTTGTTTGGTAACAGAAGTAAAATAAACAAACAAATAACCAGATTCCGTTCCATTCCTTTCCTGCCAATCCTGCAGAACATTCCGGTGTCAATTCCAGAATGCCCAAATTCCACTGGAATGGTAAGGCACCGGAATAATGAAAATAGCAAGCCTCCCTGCCAAATTTCATTCCTCT